TCTTTGTAGTATACATGTATAATTTGCAGTCCTGGATGCCACCTTGTTTTGCTGTTGTTGTCAAGGTCAATCTCCTTTTTCATAGTACTTTACTTTTCATTGTAGAGATTTTTTGCTTCCTAAGTTAGGTTAATTCCTAAGGATTTAATTTTTCTTGATGATATTGTGACACATGTTGTTCCCCTAATTTATTTCTCAGTAGGACTATTATTGATGTACAGGAGCAATATTGATTTTGTATATTGACTTTCTGTCCTATTACAATACAGTATTCATTATTAATTCTAAGAGTCATTTGGTGGAATTTTTGGTTCTTCTATGTACAGCATTATGTCATCATGCAAATAATAATAATTTGATTTCTTCCTTTTCTACACATATCCCTTTTATTTCTTCCTCTTGCCTAACTGTTCTAGCTAATGTTTTGAGAACTGTATTAAACAGGAGTGGGGTTTTTCACATTTATATGATATTGTCTATTGGTTTATCACAGATGGTTTTTATCACATTGAGGTAAAGTCCTTTTATATCTATTTCCTTCAGGGACTTATCATGAATGGATGTTTGTCAAGACTTTCACTGCATCAATTGAGATAATCCTGTGATTTTTGTTCTTGCCTTTGTTTATGTGATGTATTAATTTCTTGATTTGCATACATTGCACTATCCCTGCATCCTTCTGGTGATTTCTACTTTGTCATGATGTATGATCTCTATGATGATTTGTTGCACTCTATTCATCTGTATCGTGTTGAGGAATTACACATCTATTTTCATTAAATAAATTGACTTGTAGTTCTCTTTTTTGTTTGGGCTTCTGGTTTTGAGATCAGTGTAATGCTATATTCCAAGAATGCCTTTGGGAGTAGCCCTTCTCTTTCAGTGTCTTTAAAGATTTTGATGAATGCTGGCATTAGACCTTCCCTAAAGTTTTTGCACTAGTCTGTAGTGAATGTGCAGGGACATGGGCTTTACTTAGTGGGTAGATTTTATATTACTTCTTCAATTTCATTACCTCTTATTGGATTGTTCATGGATTTCATATCTTCTTGGTTCAGTTTTAATAGTTCATCTATATTTAGAGGTCTATCCTTTTAAATTTTTTTTGAAATCTCCAGGTTCCTAAATAATTACTAATACTCTCTGGGATTCAGTAATGTCCACAGTGATTTTTCATTTATAATTGCATCAATTTAGATCTTTCTTTTTTTTTTTTTGTAAGATTGACTAGGGCATCTATTTTGTTTATTCTTTTAAAGAACCAACTCCTGTGATTTATTGATTATTTCTATTGTACTGTTAGCTTCAATTTCATTAATTTCTGCTCTGATCTTTATAATTCCCTGCCTTGTACTAGCTTTGAATTTGGCTTGTTCTTATTTTTCTAGGGCCTTGTGATGTACCATTAGGTTATTTATTTGGACTCCATTTCTCTGATATGAGTATTCACATCTATAAACTCCCCTTGTGGAACTTCTTTCATTGTCCCAACAGGTTCTGGTTTATTGCATTATAATTTGATTCTAGGAACTGTCTAGTATCTTCTGTGATCCACTGATTAAGAGGGCGTTGTTTCACAAATACATAGATCAACTAGGTAAAAAACCCACAAGGAAATATCAAAGTTGAAACAAACTTTCAAGCAAATGGACTATACACACATACATATCTCTATATCTATCTATCTATCTATCTGTCTATCTATCTATCTATCTCTACAGTGTTCCATCCAACAACAGAATATACTTTCTTCCCAGCAGCTCATGGGACTTTTACCAAAATTTATCACATAGTAGCCCATAAAGCATGCTTAAGCAAATGCAAGATAATCAAAATTATACCATGCATATTATGAGATCATAGTGCAATGAACTGGAAATCAATGGCAAAAGAAACCACAGAAATTATGCAAGCGTGGAAATTTAATAAGACACTTGAGGCAGGCACTTCTGATGGGATAAGGTAAGGGTAATAATGGAGGTTAATGATACTCTGGAATGAACAATTGCAGAAGCAGGAATCTGGCAGAATTCACTCAAAAATCTGTTCATTAGGTGTTGCAATTTGTCTTGTCTGTTACATGTCTCTTGACAAATGCTGTTTCTGCTATGGAATATCAAGTGTCAGATGCAGGTTCAAGGACCTGACAAGATTCTGTGTCACCTCCAATCCCTGCCCCAGCAGGGGGGGGCACTTTAAAAAAGAGTGTATCACAGGTAAATTAAGTTTATTCCAAGATCATCTATCTAATCAACAGAGTTTATACATAGTTTCAAAATTTATGAATTTTCCATTGCCCTATGTAAGAAAGAAAAACAGCATTAATAAATAAGTCCTTTTTTCTCTAAATAAAAAAAAAGTACAAAATCTGCTCCCCACAAAAGAAGTTAATTAAAAGGTAACCTGAAGGTCTCAGGTTATTTCAGCTTATGAACATTTGAGTCGAATTCTGGCAGGCTTTAATGACACCCTTTCTCTGTGTTTAACCGCATGGATACACTTCCCTTTAGATCCTTTTGCCTTCCAGTATTTTGGGTTCTCCAACTGAGTGTCTCTGCCGCGGGTGATCACTAAGTGAAGTGGGTGGCTGCTTCCTCTGCTATCTCCTTGTTCCCTTAGATTCGCTTCCTGGACTCTGGGTGGGGAAAGGGCCTTCACATGTGCATACTAGGTCATCTTAGATTTCGCAGCAGATGGCTGGAGTTCAAGGCACAGTCAAGTCTAATGGAACCCAGCATTCGATTTCACATCGCTTTCAATTTTCCTAGGGAACTTTCCTTAACTGGATGGCTGGATGGAGACTGAGCTGGAGAAACAGCCACAGCAAAACCATCTCCCTGGCACTGACCTTGAGTTGTGACCAAAACAGATTCTTCCTGCCTTGGCCTGGGCATGCCTATGCAGGGCACGTACTCCCATGTCACACACACATTTCCACGATTTATTTTCCTTCCCCATCCTAAATAGCCAACACATGCTTAAGGCTTTGTGGATTAAAGTCAGGACTGGCTAATGCTGTAATTAACTAACCTATTCTTAGCATCAGACCAGAGGGTGAGCAGGGAGTTGGCCTCAAGAGCAAAAATGCAGTGACAGCCCTGAAGAGGAATGGAGCATCAGCGCCATGTGATTTTAATCACCTTTCCTGATGATTTTCTATCTGGCAAGTGCTACCCACGGTCTGTGCTTCATTTGATTATGAATGATATGGAGTCCCCTTGTAACTGTAGAGTTTTGAATAGTTCTTATAAAATTTGTTTAGTTTTTAGGAATTTAGCTTCTAAGTACGTTTCTTGCCCCTTGATATGTTTAGGATGTGAACGCTGCCCACTGCTGAGTTACTGATGAGGGGTTGCTTTTGTGATGCTGGCCAGGTGACCAGGCAGAAAGGTCCCGCTGACTAGGTGGACAACACAGGCTGAGGTGAACCGGGGGAAGGCAAAACAAGCCAGTAACCATTTCAGTGTCACTAAGCGAGCCATGCCCATCCGCTCTGTGTGCTTCTCGAGCCACGGGCAGACAGAGAAGGCAGCCTGCTGACATCACTTCCATCCTAGTTTGTGCCCCTCCGTCTCTGGGACAAGGGCTGACTCTTGTGGAGGGATATGAATTCAGGCTAAAATCCCATGTGTCACCGTCAGGCTGAACCACAGGGCACAGCCAGACTTGCTGCATCGCAGTGCCTGGAAGCTTTCTAGAGGGAGCTGCAGTCAGGGACTCAGGCCCCCACCCCACTTCCCCACCGTGCTCAGGGGCTCATCTGAGAGGCTGGCCCTGGAGCTTCCATGATGTTCTCTGCTCACCTTTGACTGCTCTTTCTCCTTCGCACTCGCATTCTCATCTCACTTTTTGCACATCTGACCCAGGCCTGGCATGCTGTTCCCTTACACTTCCCTTACACTTCACTGGACACACTCCTCTGCTCCTCAGTAACCACTGTTCCCACAAAGCTTCCTGGACTTCTCCACCTTGGTGATGGGCCTTCCCCCTGGTTCTCAGAACACTTTCTGCCTGACCCCAACAAGACCAGTGGAGGCTGAGGGGCCTGGTTGCTTACTTCCTGTGGTGGACAGTTTCTTGAGAACTGGGAACTCAGTTATGACTATGTCCCCAGGATCATCAAAATGTCCTGGGTCTTTCTAGGCTGGGGTGACAGCGTATGAATGAAAATCGCATCATAAAAGAATCAATTCCCAATGCTGGTAGCAAAAGTGATACAGCACAAAATGAAAAACAAAATCCAAATTATATTAGTCTATCAATCAGGCATACCGATCTTTTTGCTCTCAAAGTTTTGCTTTAAAAAAGATATTTTATGCTATTTTTACCTCAGAAGTGTTCTTCCCACAAATAGGCCATACTATTTAACCCGTTGTGAAAATACAGTATACCCATTCTTTGTCATTATATTTTCATATTTCTAAGTCCACATGAGGTTAAATTTCAGATTCCTTTGGCCAGGAAACAAATTTTCTGTACAAATTCTGTATATGTACTGATCCGTTCTTAACTCCCTTTTTAGTCTGAGTGAATTCTAATGAGAAAGCAGAGTTATGAATCAGCTGATCTTCTAAACAAATTTCAAATCTAAAGCCTGAGAACTTTATTATTTTGAAAATCCAAAGCTACATTGTAGATTATGCCTGATATAAAATATATGAACTGAAAACATATAAAAATTACCTCTTATAAGACATTAAAATGGCAATTTCACTTTTAAAATTTGGCCATATTTTAATTTATAGCTGCAAAGAAATTTAGTTTTCATTTTTACTGATTTTTTTGACATCTAGTTGTATTATTTCCAGAATTTTGGAGCTGATGTATAATATGACAATGCTAAAAGTGGACTCCAATACCTGTGCCTGCAGATTATTTTAAATATTAAAATTTAATTATCTCTCAGTATAAAGAAATCCAACAATAGTTTTGAACTGTGCCTAAAGTGAAATTGTAAAGTAAGAAGAGTGAGTTTAACTGACTGCATTTTAAATTCTTACCCTTGGAAATGTCGTGAATCTGTCCAGTTCCTCCACAAAGCAGAACATCTGTAAACTAATCGCGGACATAACAATCAGGAGGCTGGCGGTAAATACAACCAAGCTCCCAAGCTTTTTTCCAGGCCCAAATATCTTGTACACAAAATCTTCTAAGGCAGGTGAGATCTTAATAAGCCGAACTACTCGAAGAACCTATCAAGAGAGGGAAAAACAGCAATGAGTGATTATTTATACTAAACCTTAAAGTAGCTCATACTAAAACATCGTTTCCATAGTACTTTGTAAAAATCATACTTTTCCATTTGAGCATTAAAAAATATTGTAGTTTTTTTTTTTTTTTGCAAGATCTCATTGTGTAGTTCAGAGTGGCCTTGAACTTACTATGTAGCCCAGGCTGGCCTAGAACACGGCAATTCTCCTGCCTCAGCCTCTGGTGTGCTAGGATTATCAGTGTACACCATCAGTGCCAGAGAGATTAAAAATAATAATGTGACAAATGAGTCACCTGTCTAGTTCAGTGCCTCCCATTCAGAAAGAACACAAGAAATGAGTGAATGACAGAAACAGCGGTAACCAGGCATTTCAGCACATAAGGTGACATTCAAAATGGAAACAACTGGAGTAGGGACCTTTGGGCCAGAAGCAGAAGCCTGATAAAGAATATGACAGGTTGGATCCAGTCCAACAGTCTGGCTTCCTTCTTTTGCTGGACACCAACCAACCACTGTAGAAAAACAGGCTTCTTTTTTATGTAAGCCTTGCAGTTTTAGATCTTTACTATATCTACTTGCTATCTATATGTAAATATTATAAATAACAATGCATATTTATTTACAAGTTGAACATTTGTATCTTTGCAAAGAGCCCACCAACCTATATCCAGTTAATCAATTCACTCATTTATTTAAAAAATACTGATTTTGTGTCAAGCATCACATGATATTGTTACAAAAAAGCATAAGACAGCTACAGGAATATTTATACAATTAAAAAGTATAAATTGCTATGCAAGTAAAGGCTGAAGTATATGGCATTGAATTTTACCATTATTCAATAAGAATATGATGCAGCTTTTTATGTGCCTGTAAAAAATAAAATTTCTGCAAATTAAAGTACACTACACAACTGATGATAAGACAGATTCCAAAGTTAGAGTTATCTCTGCTAGAACATTATCTTTGTGGCATAAATGAAATGTGGTACTTTGATGGTGGTTCCAACGCTTTGGAGTGTGCAGGAAACCAGGTTGTCTGTGAAAGGTGAACACTGTATTTGGAACACACTAAAGAACAAGAAATACAATGACACAATAGATTTTAACTTTTTCCTTATGTAAAATAACATATATTTATTTTTGCTTTCCTAGTGTCCTGGTTTGCTACTCTTCCTGATTTTCTTTTGATAAATTATTCCCATTCTATTCTTGTTCATGAGGTCTAGAAGGAACTCCGCAAAACCCATGGCACAGGCCTGCTTGGAGCATTCACCATGGCCTGAGCTATCCTCAGGAATTTTGCTGGCACTTCTAATAAGAAATATTCTAATTTTCTTCCCAAAATATGCATTGTTCTAACAGCTACACCAGGCGTGAGGTTGAATGAAGGCAGTAGGAAGGAAAGGCAAATGAAGAAGCAGACTGAATGCCATTTGTATTTCTAATTTTGCCATTGCTGAAGCCATGTCCATCTTCCTAGGCCTCACTAGAAAACGATGATGAGTCTTATTGCACTTGTTGTATAAAAGACAAATGTAAGGCTGGCAGCAGCATTTCAAGTAAATTAATGGGCAAATAACTGAAGAACTTGCAAAAGTGCATATTAAAATTCTTTCTATAATGAATAAAAAGAAAATTGATGGGAGAACTCAAATTATTTCAATTAAGCATCATATCCCATAGCTTAGCCACCAGCTTTTTCTGCTCTACTTCTTAACAAACTTTCCAAAATCAGAAGTTATTACTTTCATGTCATCTTTTCACATAAAAGAAAACACTTTATTCTAAGAACTGTTAAAATACTAACAGTCACATTAATATTCAGAATAACATTCTAGCAATGTTTCACATGTTCTCAGGTTTACCTATTGTGAGACATAAATGATCCAGTACCTAACTGTGAACCGCCGATCCAAGCAAGTTTGCAGGAACGATTTAACTGAAAAAATTAGCTCCAATTTTACTATAAGCATTTTCCTCATTTGTATTAAAATCATATTTAAAAGACTGTCTCACAATCTTTTAGTCCCATCCCAAACTGTAATAAAAACAGCCCATGACTCTTTGGGCAGATAAACAAATGAAAGTTAACACAGCTCTCACACTGGGGATTTAATCAGAATTTTCAGAGAAATAAAATTGCAAAGGAAAAGTCCTGGCCACTAATATTGTGTCTTTTCATGTATGTGCGGTTAAGTGTGCTTCTCACTGTATCTACCAATAAGGCTGTTGATTTATTTTTTCTTATAAACATGGAACAACATAAATAAACCATAATCCCAAAGACAAGCACTTCAGAACACTTTGTCTTTTTCCAAAGCATATTCTCCGGATCAGATTTCACAAGTCTTGCACAGAGCACTCTTTTCCGCCATAGTGAAATGCTATTGTATGGTGCAAAACAGAAACTGAGATTAAACTTCTTAGCAAGTTTCAGCTCCATCATTTGCTAGATATGTGGACAGTGAGTGGGAGAAACCACTGATCTTTGGAGACCTCCGTTTACCTGCAATCTTCATCTTCCAGGATTGTTATGAGAAACAAAAGAGACAGTGCACTCAACATCGCGCCTGACCCGCCCACGTACAATAAATACCTGCGTGTGTCCCATGGCTGCCCCGGAATTTAAGAGCACCGAGTCCTGATGGCCTTCCCTAACCACACTGACTAGCGTTCACGCTAGTTTGGCAATCCAAAAGGTGCACGCCAGGAGCTCCTCCCGCCTGGGATGCCTGCCCCGGCTGGCTCCTTCACTTCTCTTGGTGTCTGCTAAAGGATTCCTCTTCGGAGGAAGTTTCCATCTTTGTAAACTGCTTCCTCTCTAGAATTTAAGCTTAAAAAGGTCTGGTCTCTAAACTCTGCCTCCTCCGTTGCTCTATCTTCAGTACTGGAGTGGGCTGAAGCCAACACGTGCTTGGAAAGTGAATCTGAATACTTACACGAACACTAACAATACTTCATCTCACAGATAACTGATGTTTTAAAGGAAGCTGTTTTGTACTAAACAATCAATTTAAATACGAAAGATATGAAATGCTAAGGAAAGACCTGCGCCAAGACAGTGAAGCAATGCAAAGTGTGGAATTCCACAAGGAACAAATTGGGCCTCAAGAGCCAATCTGTGTGGTAGAATACGTTTGCCATGTGTGACTGTAAAAATTACTGTCACGAATAAGCTTCTCAAAAAACCCAATTTTAGCTATCAAATAAATGGGCTCATTTTCATTTCTTTCACTAGAAAAATATACATATGGACATGCATAGATAAAATATAAAATCACTTAATTAACATAAATTATTACAAATTATAGGTCAGAATGAAATTCATTAAAATAATAAATTTCACTACGATTTGAGTGTATCTATTATCCATAAAATGATGACAATGATGCAGACTTATTTTAGGTAGTTTGTGAAAAAGACTAGAAAGAAAGAGATGAATAATTTGCAATAAGTTTTTCCAATTATTTTTCTATTTGCAAGTATTTTATATAATGTGTTTAACATACGTATACATATATGTTATACAATTTTATGTTGTTTTATATTTACATAAATTTAGATAAATTTTGAGTTCTTATAAATTCATCATAATCATAATTTTATTGCTAAGCTATGTCCCAACTATTTAGCATTTAAACAGCTCCTACTTTTCCCTTTAACTCTATAATGAATATTTTTCCACATAAAATTTTGATTACAGTATTTGAATTCTTCACTGGAAAATTATTTGTCAGGTACTACTGAAATTTTAAGGCCTGGAATATATTTTAAAGTGTATCTTTGCTAGCAAGAGAAACAATATTTTTCTCTTTTCCTATCAGTTTGTGATACATGATAGAGACCTTTGTCTTGGGGGAGTTGACACATGTACCTCGTATCTCGATCATTTTCTATTCCTGATCCTTTTACTCCTCCCATACTCCACTTATCCTCCTTCCTTCCCTTTCCCCAACATCCCTTCTATTCCAAAAAATTGGCCTCTATTTTCTATTATCTTTCTTTTATTCTTTATAGTTTATGTTTCTCATATAAGAGATAACATGCAATATTTAACTTTCTGCTCCTGATTTATTTCACTTACCTCTATGGACTCAAGATCGTTCTTAATTTGTCTAATTTAGTAGGTTTACAAAAAGTTATCTCATTATTCTGATCTTTAGCTATATCCTCTATAAATCTATGCAGTGAAGACATAGGTGAGTGCAAAGCGCTCATGTGGGTTTTTTCGGTCCACACAGCAGTGCACAAAGCAGCTCAAGGCACGGATATTGGGAAAACACAAGTTTATAATGGGAATTTTAAATGCTCCTCACTCTGCCCCTCTTATCTCACTAGAGGGAACCACACTGCAGGCCAAGGAAATGAAGGATGTGAAGCCCTGACTGGAGACCTGGGCATGGGGACCTGCTTGTCCGTTCTTGTGCCTTAGTTTTATTCCAGTCTCTATCACTTCAGAGGCCGGGCAGCCAACTTAGCCCTGTTCTAAAATTGAGAGCTTAGGTTTTACCAACAAATAAAATCAGTGGAGTTGGAATGTATTTTCTTTCTTCTAAAAAGTTGGAACAGCATTTCTGTAAATTTCTATTTAAAATTTCTCCTGCCACCAGGGTTGTGGCTCAGTGGCACAGCACCTGCCTGGCAAGTGTGAGTTCATGTGTTTGATTCACAGTACCAAAAAATAAAATAAAACAAAACAAAATAGAATTTCTCCTGCCATTATCTTTCCTAACTATTGAAAAATACTTACTGAGAACAATGCATACTCTAGTGTGCCCATGACAAATAATATACATGACAAAATTTCAGTCATAAGTACTGTATTTAGATCCTTTTGACCAGGGTATTACATATGCATAACTATCTCTTTTACTAAGAATTTAACCGACCAAAGGTGATATTGCTATAGTATAATTATTAAAAGTTATAAAGTAATATGATGCATCATGTACATTTGAAAAAAACAGATATATAATTATTATGAAATAAGAATTATAAGTATCACTTTGTAATCATCACAAAAGAAGAAATAGGTACTTATAAATAATGAAAATGTCTAATTAAAATCTGTAAAGGTCTTGTAGATCCTGATTATTTCCATTGTAAGCCATTGTTGAAAAAAGACTTTTACAAGGGAGATTTGCTTGTAATTAAAATCATCATTACTCTTGTTTAAAGTTCATGCCAGTAGCTTATGTACTCCAAAATTTGCTATATACGTGTAGATATATTACATCCATATGTATATAAATATGTATATCTGCTAACTTTGGAACAGTGTGTCAAACATCTGTATTCATCACTGTGAATTTCACATTTTAGAAACAACTGTCACAATTTATGAATGTGACGTTTCTGATATTGAAGATGTCATTGGGAAGTTAAGGATGTGAGCTCATATTTACCAGATATTTTATATGTGTATTTACAATTGTTATAATGTGACTATCATTTACCCTGAAAAGAAAAAAAAATCCTAAAGACAAAACAGGTGTAATGTACATTACCTGAAAGTATGTGAACTGGGAGTGATAAAGATCTGGGTACACATGAAGAGTCGTTCCAACGACGAGAAGCAGCTCAAATTTGTGGAGAGATGAGCTGATATATCCAGTAAAGCCCAAACACCATATCTTCAGAAGTGCTTCCAAATCAAAAAGGACTGTAAAAGCCACCTAGAGGAGCCAAGAGACACTGAAATGAAATCTGAAACTATTTTAAAAAATTATTTCATACTCTATCAGTGCAGGAATTTCAGCTACTAAGGAGTCCCACAAAGTCAAGAATGACATTTTATTTAAAAATGGGTTTGGAAAAGACCATTTAGAGCACAGTAAAACCAAGATATTTTAGATAATCAGACAAAAATATTAAAGTCTTAATGATGTAAGTGGTATTATTTCTTTATTATCCACTATTTAATAGTATTAAAAACTACTACCACCTATAAAATTGCTGTACAGACAAAAATTTTGTGCTTTTGTATAAATTGTATTTTCTAAAGATTGAATTTCTACAATGCACAATGGCATATTATCAAATGACTTACATATTAATAACTATAATTAAACTAATATAAAAAAATCACTGATCCCTTTGTGCTTTGGGGCACATGGCACATGTCATGGGGCATTCTACATGGTAAGTGGAAACACTGGGATTCTATACCAATCAATTCAGGTGTGTGCACATATCAACAAACATTACTGCATTATTAATAATACTGTATTACTGATGTTTAACCAACATTGATATATTCATTCAACTAGTCAATCTCTAATATAAATCCTATAATTTTACTGTTATAAACAGCACTATTATAAAGTGCACACAATAAAGACATTGCATTATTTTTGTTACTTGTCCTATGAGAAAGAATTCTCATTTTATAATGAAGATTGTAATTGGAGTTAAAATGTGCAATGTAGGATTGCTGTCTAATTAAAAACATATGTGTGAATGTTGGGGTTAGTTAACATAAATCTCTCTTTGATGATCACGAATGATTTATTGGAAGACAAGAATAAAAAAGAACTTTCTTGCCCTTTCCTAAGCTACTGTTTAATATCAGAAAGGACTCTGTTCCACTAGTATTTGGCAAGTGTGGAGTGAAATGGCATTTCAATAAGAGTGAGAAATGGGCCATTAAAACTATGCAGATGGTTAATTTAGATAGAGGAGAAACTCAGCCTCACTTCTCGTCTACTATTTCTAGAGATTCCAGTTGCCTTTTAGTTTTAACAGGCATTTATCTTCTAAAACACAAGAAGGCGATAATGCATTTTAATGCTGAAATAACCTTTAGTGCCCAAGAAAATGTGCGCTCAGGCTCCTTTCTCACCTTCCTCACGTGTTTGCCATTCTCATCTTTGACTGTACACAGTCGTCTCCATCCTTGCCTAACTTTGTGCCATCCCATGAAAGGGCTGGATTTTATGAGACACTTTGCAGCTCGCTTTGCTCACGTACAAGCATGCCTGTCCCTCCAGAGTAAGGGATTAAAAATCTCACTCACTCATTCTTCTGACCTGCTGCGTAACTTCCCAAAGCGGTCACCACTTACACAACTCGACTTCTCCCTACTCATTCATTCAGGCGCTCCTTGAAGGAGTCACCAGAGACCCGTTAAACATTTTACTAGTTCAGAAACAAGACTATAGCAATCCTCTTCTGAATATTCAAATTTACTGAGGCTTACTTTGCATTTTTATTATTTTTTTAATCTAACAGCAGATTTCCAGACTTGACATTGCTGGGACAAAACCCCATATGTGTGTTTCAAAGTTGAGAAAGTATTAAGAGATCACTTTCAAAATATTTATAATAAATCATCTGTCTTCCTGGAATGTAGAAAAATTACCCGTGTCCCAAATCTGCAGTAACACTACTATAATCAAATGGAACTGCTTCTCATCTGTTCATATGTGTACTGATCACTTAGATTTAACTTCTCTTTAAAATAACTAAATTTTGTTTTTCATAGCCTTGTCAATATTTTACGGTGTTATTTGGTCTTTCTTATCAGTTTTCAGTGGTGTTGATATTGAAGGCATTAATCTTTGTCTGCAATATCTACTGCAAATAGTTTTCTCCTAGTCAATAATGTGGTTTCAAACAGTGGTGTGTTTGTTCTACAAAACACTGTCCATTTCACATATTCATAGCTATCTATCTTCAACTTTATGATTTTTAAATTAGTTTTCCATGTATAGAATAGGACTTTAAGGAGAATGACATATAGTCTTCATATCCAAGAACATATGTTTTTCTATTTACTTGGACTATATATTTTTTCTTTCTTTTAAAAATTCTTCTTAAAGTTTTATTTTTATTAGTACGTGTTTGCAGTATGTGATAATTACATTATCATGGAAAGCTGGCACATGCACATGACACGTCTTCATTCTTTCTTTTCATCTTCTACTCCTCCTCTCGCTTCCTTCCTTCCTTCTTCCAACTCTTCTTCCCCATTTGCAAGAGCTCATTTTCATCATTTTTCTCCTTCAATGTTTTTTGTCCATCCCCCTCTCCACGCCTTGTTCCCCCACTCATTTGAAAAAAATCTTCCCACTTTGTGTCACGTTTGTCCATCTTTTATTCTGTTCTGTCCCTCATTCCCTCTCCCAATACACATATGACAAAGCACGTGTTATTATGGTCTCATGCTATACGCATTTACCCACAAATGACTCTTTATGGCACAGTAGCACACCATTGTGTATAAATAGGATGCTTTATTCATACATTTATCTATTGAAGGGGATATAGGCTGTTTTCAAGATTTAGTTATTATAAATTATAATGCTACAAATATGGGTGCGCATGTTTTCCTCTAATATGGTGATTTTAATTCATTTATCTAGAAGATACTTAGAAGAGAATAGGTTAAATGGAATTTCTATTTTTAGTTTTTGAGGAATCTCCACAATGATTTTCATAACAGTTGTACTAATTTATTGTCTATTTCTACCAACAAGGTAGAAGAATTTCTTTTTCTGCCATATCCTCACCAGCATTTGTTATTATTTTATTTTTTGACAGCTATTCTTCCTAGAGTAAGACTATCTATCTATATTCTTTTTTAAAATTTTTCTTCATATATCTATGCATAGATAGCCAAAATTGCATATATATATGAAACTTTTTGGAGATATATATATTACTTTTACCTAGTTAGTTCCAGTGCAAAGAAAAGACATTGATTTCTCAATATTGACTTTTTATGCTACTAGATTTTTCTATTTATTCTAATATTTTAATAAGGTCCCCTAGTTTTTGTAGAAGAATATATATATGTAATTTGCAATTAAGGCTATTGTTTCCTCAAGACTGTTTTTGGAGTTATTTATATTAATGACTTAGTTAGGTACAATAGTATAATTGTAGTTACTGAATAATGACATAATGTCAGCAGGAATCAATAATCCTTATTTTTACAACAACAGTTTCTTTCATTTTTATATGCAATTGTTGAAATAGGTCTTGGTAATTATTTTCTAATGTGTTTGAGGACTTCATATTCTACTTAGAGAGATTTGACCTTCAATTGATTGAGGTAGAGAAATATATTATGAGAGTCTTTGATACTGTTTGTTTATTCCTGGAATAAACCTTGTCATGCTAATGTGTTGTGTTTCTCCTACCTTTTGTGTTCTGGGAACCCCTGAAAATCACAAAATCCTGGTAACAGGAATAATCATGTCTTCAGAGCAGCCACAGAATTTGAAGCCTACCTAGCATTCTGGACTTACATCGTATGTAATTGTTGGTCTTGAGAATATTCTTTAACTTTTTGCATATTCTGTTGAGCCTTTAAAATATTTCAACATTTTTGGTGTTTTGCAGAGATAATTTCAAACACATTTTGAAAGTACTTTATATGTATTTTCTGTGGACAGTACACTATTTGATCTTGTTCAAACATACTTAGAGTTTCTGACTTTTAACAGAAAAGTTCAGACTACTCACATTTATTGTAGTAAAGTTATGCTTGGGATTATGCTTCTTATTTATTGTGTTGCTATTTTCACCTTTTCTCCTTGTCCCTTTTTATGTCATCAATATTTGTTCTTTTCTTTTACCCATTACTAAGTAGGAAATTCTACATGGCTTTTATAATCCTTCAATTTAATTCCCAGAAGCCTTTATTTTTTATTATTGACTCAGAAACAGTGGTTTTCCCATTCTTCACCAATTTGCAAACTTAACAGTACGCATTCTCCTTCCACCTCCCATTGAAAGCACATTCTCCTAATCTCTGATGTTTCTGAAGTAACTCATATAACTAATCTTAATCTCTTCTTTAAAAACAAAAGTTTTAAGATTTGTGCTTTATTGATTGGCTAGTGCTTGCGTTGAGCCTGTATTTCAACCTTTAAAAAAATTAAAATATGCTTTAAAGATACAAATAAGTAGATATCTCAATATTTTTGGTTACTTTTCTTCCAGAACTTTTCACATTGATATTTTACTTAGAAAAAGAAAATATATCAATTAAGAATTGGTCATAGTAATTTTACTTCCATAAGTTAAATTTATTTTATTCAACTGTTTAAAAATTTTAAAATTCTAGGCTCTCTCAATATCAAAATGGACACATTTAAAATCGTCTCTAGTACTCATTAGATCATTTTTATTTCTGTACTTTCTAATTTTTGTTTTTGTTGTGATAAGGCCCACTTAGTTCAAGCTGGTTTGAACTTACTATGTACCCCAGGTTGTTTCTCATGGTGATCCTCCTGCCTCAGTCTCCAAAGTGCTGGGATTTTAGGTGCCACTACCACATATGGCATGATATTTGTATCTATTTGTTGAGTACCGAATTATAACTCAATATATTACCTCTATTTTCCTCAAGCATTTCTATTTGGCATTTTTATTATCATCTTCCGTTTAGACCTAAAGCTCATGCCCCTTTTCCTTCCCTTTCCATTTTCATTTTGTTTAGCCATCTGGATTATGACTTACTTATCTTGAGATCAGTACATTTTGGATCAATTTCCTTAAACAAACACCAAGGGTCAGGCTTGCTTAGTCTTTTCCTATAAAGCAACCCTGATCCATACGTGAATTCTCAGTTCATTTCTTTCAATGGTGTATACATGCTGGCTAACGGCTCTCTACTTTCTGATGTTGTAGATAAGTCATCCAATGCACAATAGATTTATTTTCCTTT